AAGCTAACTCCCAATGCGTAATGCCTGTGCAATGCCGTTTGCTTTGCCGCTTGTGAATTAAATGCACGTTATAGTAATTATCTCTGGGGTGGGCTTTCCCCACCCTCGCCTTGCCCAGCCTGAGCAGGAAGGCTGCACAGCCCAAAGGCTACACCAGGTGACGTAGGATGGATTGAACATTGGGATGGAGAAGTCTCCGTGGTTCTCTCCTGCTGCCGGATCTGCTGGTTTTAACGTAACAAGTATTGTAGTGTCACAGGCTCCGATTCTGCAGGTGGATCTTAAAGACAAACCCCCGTCGCTGTGCGAGTGCCTCTGGGCTCTCGTGAGCTGCGGGCAAGAGGCAGCACGGACGTCTGCTGGGCTGGAATAGGGGGCCTGCGTTCCCCATCGCTGTCTTAGCATAGTGTTGTCAGAAGGATGGAAATTTGAAAGGGCAGCTAATGCAAACCTGCCAGAAAGGGGTCGTGAATATTTACCAGCCCTGGCATAAATCTATCAACTTACTTCTCGGTGTAAATGATTTAAACCTTCCTTTTGCTACCCTCTGCCCTTCCCAAGGTGGATCCTTTGCACGTTCCCCTTGAGCCTGGGAGCAAGCACAGGCAAAGGCGTTTTTTGTATAGGTATTTTCAAAGGTACTCGGGTGCCTTGCAGGGTTTTGTTAGCATTTAGAAGCTTGATTTTGAAACTTGAGCAAATCTGAATGCCGTAGAAAAGCCTATCCCCTGTGCTGTTCAGCTGTTACATGGCTCATCTATTTCTAAGGTGCATGGAGTATAAATTTTGCTTTGCGTTGTTGAGTATTAAGCTTTGGTCTGGTTGTCTCTTGCCATGTATATCACAAATATGCATCACAAAAAGCCAACATATACCAGCACTGCAACATACCTTGAGTCTCACAGAGGATTTTTGAGATACGCTACGTCTTATCTCTCTGCTCTCAGCTCACGTCTTATCTGGGTTGCTTACCCAGGTTTAACATAAGCCAGTTGGAGGAATGGCTGCGTGGGAAGAATCTGCAGCAAAGCGGAGCAGCGCAAACTTTGGAGCCCTTGATTCAGGCAGCACAGCTTCTGCAGCTGAAAAAGAAAACCTCGGAAGATGCCGAGGCCATCTGCTCCTTGTGCACGTCGCTCACGACCCAGCAGGTAGGGAGCAGGGCAGAGAGAGACTTACACCAGAGGGTACTGAGAATTAAAGGACTGGGAAAGGGTGGTCTCCTGGTGCCAGCTTTTCACTGCCCAGACTCAGCGTGCTGCTCCCACGGTGGGGACAACTTTTCAGGACTGATGTTGGGTACTGACCTCTGTCTGAGGTGGTCACCGCGGTGGCTCCTCTCTTACGGTGCCACTGATGACGCAGGAGCTCCAGAAATCTGCGAAGATGAAACCTAGACCTGAGGAGTTCATGGTATAAGTCAGACACTTGAGATTCTAAACTCACCCTTTGTCTTTTGCCAGGGTCTAACCTGGCTAGGTCTGCAGGATGCCCACCAAGAATTCATATTTGGGGCAGGAGGTTGAGCCCAGGCTGGCTGAATCCGACCTTAAACTTTGAGATTCCATTCCAGGAGGATATAAACTCAGGCTGGGTTGCCTGGCCTTAATTTAATAACGTCATAGGAAGGGAGAAGTGAGAGGTGTAAGCTGATCTCCAGTGGTTCTTGGAGATCCTTTCTCCTGTAGTTCCTTCTCCCTGTCTTGAATGCATGTGCTTGAAAGAAGCTGAGGGGTGGTAGGGGAGGAGCAGGAGTGAGGGAGCATCGGGAGAAGTGTTGTAGAGGTGACATCAGAAGTGGTCACCCGTGTCACCGTGTGCCAAATAAAAATCTGTTGTTGAAGTGTATTCCCAGTTTACAAACGTTGCCGTAAGAAGTGACTTTGACGGGTCCATAGAGGTTTACCGTACCTTGCAGCAGGCAAAGGAACACCACGGTGATACTCGTGCTGCTTCTGCTTCTCAGGAGTGTCACGGGAGACTTGTTATGGCCATGCCAAGACAACCTGTCAGTGGTGCTTTGTATTTGGGAAAAGTTTGGCTTCCCATGACCGTCTGTAATCCTATTTTGTTTTCAACAGATTGTAAAGATACTTAATCTCTACACTCCTGTGAATGAGTTTGAAGAACGTGTGACAGTAGCTTTCATACGAGACATACAGGTAAACTAAAGGGCTGTAAGGTGGAGGAGATGGTACTAATGACATCCGTATGAAATCATTACTAACTCAGGCGTTTTGTAATAGGCGTGCTGCTGCATGTTGTCCTGAACTTAGGGCTCTGCGTGTGCACACGCTTACTCGCAACGTACGACCGCAGGGATAACCCGGCTGTCAATCACAAAGAGTGATAAGCACCTAAGTTCCCAATCCAGTGCTTTTTAGTAGCAACGCAACTCAGAAATGAGGTTGCGAGAGTCAGCGAAGCATCGGTGAAATGGAGTTACTTCTGAGATACAAGGCAGAAATTGGCAACTAAAGGAAAAATAAATAAATGAAAACCAAACATCTTTTAATGCTTACAAGGAGGAGGCAGGAAAAGGAAACAGAAATGTGTTCAACTACTCCTAGAATATGTCTCCATCACTGAGCGGCTGAATCAGAAGTGGTGTGCTGGTATCATGCAGTGCTGCTTTTGCCGTACAAGGGGGTCATGTTGTTTCCATGTCCTGTATCTTGCTTCATGGTCATGTAGAAAACACAGCCAGGTTCTTCTGAAGCAGTGTTTCCTACAGCCTACGTAGAATTTCCTGTAAATATTTGCTCTGAGAAGGGCTGCTGCAATAGAGAGCAAAACAGTTCTCACTGTTTTTTGCAATATCTCTAAAATTGTGTACATTCTCAAGCCTTTGCCGATGTTAAACATGACAAATGCAAAGAAAAGGCAACAACTGATACTAAATTTGTTTTTTTCTCCCACACCTCACAGACGCACTTGCAAGAGCGAAATGATCCTCCGCAGCTGCTGTTAGACTTCAAGCACATGTTCCCAGTTTTGTTCCCGTTCAACCCCTCCTCCATAACCATGGACTCCATTCATCTCCCTGCTTCTCTCAACTTGGAATTTCTCAATAAAGTCTGAAGAAAGTATAATTAAGCCCACCTCTCATCCCCAGAGACCTCCGGCAAAGGAAGAAAAATCACAAAAGGAATTTAAGGACCTCTTTAAATAAGGACCAAGCAGGCTTCTGGAAGAACCAATACACAGTAATAAATGGATGCTAAACTGTACAGTAAAAAAGAGACTGATCTGTATGTGATTATTTTTTTTTTCTGTAATTTGCAGCTCAGAATTAAGGATACTTGAAATGTAGATTTATTTTTTACTGCTTGATTTTATGTTGACATAGTTCAAAGCCCATAATCATCTCCAAAAGCCACTAACAAAAGAGAACGGTGAGTGGGAGACCGACTTTGATCTTCGTAGGTGTCTATGAAGAAATGTCAGTTAAATCAAAACCAAAATCTGAGACACTTATGTTTGACACGTGTGATTTGTCTAATAACTAGGTGGTTTTGTAGGTATTAGTAATGGGACATGCGATTCTGCCTCCCGTTCTTGCTAGTAACTCTTATCACGACAGTGAGTTGAGAAGGTAAATTGCAGAAGGTGCAAGTACGTATTTATCACGTCGGTTAAGGTAACGGGCTTGGACGCTGCTTGTTTCGACTGACGTGGAATGTGTCACAAATTCTGTGTTTGAGAAACGCTGTTGCTACTCCTAACTACATCCAGTGCGTCCGCTTCATGGGATTTCAAGTAAACGGGCAGTTTGGACTTTCTTCCGTTACCAAATTTACAAAATTACTTGCAAAGGTTTCATCCTAGTGAAATAACCTTGAGACAAGGGACTGCCTTAGGCTTTCTGCTTCTAGTATAGACGAGCATCGTCCTGATCCCTACTGTTGGCTTTCCCTGTGCTTTTAAAAGTGAAAAACTTTCATCCAGTGGCTACCGAGGTTCTTAGACCTCTTCTGTGGCCTGTATCGGAATCTCATGCATAGGTAAGACGTGCTAAGGCAGCCCAGTTTAATCATTAGGTCCCCAGTCGTACTTATGCTCAGTGGGCTAGTCCTAGCCATAGCAGTCCATGGAAAAAATTCATTCAATTCAATAACCATCTGAGATTTTACCAGTCGTGCAAATACAGGGCTTAGATAAAGGAAGAATACATTAAAAAAGAAAAAAAGTTTAAAACCAAAAGGGAATGGATAAGCAATGAAGTGTTTTAACACAAAAAACTTTGTAAGGTAGTGTGTTAGTAATGCAAGCCGTTTCTTTCAGACTGAACACGAACTCTTTGTCTACAACATCCTTAAACGAATAATTGCAATCAGTTCAAATTCTGTTAGGGTTTTTTTTTTACCTAACTTAAAATCAAATTAAACCAATCCAACCCTCTGACCTCACCACGTAGATGTTGAAAGGGGCCAGCTACTCACAAAAGCAGTCATTGTTTTTTCTCGGTGCGTACCACGACACGTTGAATTCTCAGTTACTGCAGAGCCGCTCTCCTTGCTGAGGAGGGGCGAAGGTGAGTTCCCGAGGCTGAGTGATGCTCTGCAACGACCCTGATGGTGATCGCTCTGCAAACTCGTCAGGGCAGCGATGCTTCTGCCCTAGCTCGGCGTGCCAAAATGCAGCTAGGATGTTTGGCAAGAGGCGAAAGCCTCGCTCATCTTAGCACCGAGAGCATTTTGCCCTTTGCACTTCCATAACTAACTGGTCTAAGTAGATCCTACCTTCCTGGCTTTTGTGGTTGCGGTTCCTGAAGTCTCAGCGATTCCACGATGATTAAGAGCTTTCGGAAAAAATCCTCTCTGCATCTGACTGCTTTTAGTTGGTATCAATTGTATCCAAACAGCAAACTGATGACCAGGTACCCTGTCTGCTCAGAGAATTAAAAGAGAATGTGAAGTCTCCAAGATACGCTAAATCCCGCCATGCTGCAGTCACCTTTTCAGATAAGGAGTGTGTTTTGATTTAAACATCATGTATATAATCTATGTATATACAAACTGTAATAGTCCTGTATGTACTATATATGTATATTACTATCCAAAAAGCACATTTTTAAAGAAAAAGTCGAGTGCTGTGAAGAATTATATTGGTCTGTGCCGGTGGGTAAATACCTGGTTTCAGATGGACTATGGTTTAGTACAGCTGTTACCAGTGAAGGGACAGACTTAAGGCCATGCCCTAGGGAGAATTTCTCTTTTCCCCTAACCATCACCCAATTAATTATAGAAGAAAATTGATTGCTTGTATAGTACCAGCGCTACCTCCTTGAGCATTTGCATCTACTGCGTATATTCAGTAGTGCCTTCGTCTCCCCTTCACGTACAATAAGGATAATGCCACCATTTCGCGGTCCGTGCCCAGCAAGCCCACGCTC